CCCCAAAACCCCAAAACCCCAAAACCCCAAAACCCCAAATATTTTCACAGATATTGAACCTCGTTATTTAGTGGGCTTCAGAACAGAGCTTCTAAACATTGGAAATAGGATTACCTCCCTAATAGAGGCCTGATTGAAGAGGAGCATTCAGAGACGGTCAATACCGATACCACAACCTCCTGTTGGAGGCATCCCATAAGACATTGCCTTCAGGTATGAATCATCTGTCTGTAAGATCTCATCATCATCTGAATGTGATTCTTGTAATTCTTTCTGCTTTGCAAAGCTAGCAGACTGAGCTTGGTGATCATTCTCCTCTGTATAAGCATTGATGACTTCCATTGAGTTAATGAACAGCTCAAATCTTTCAGAGATTAAGGGATTTCGCTCGCTAGTTTTTGCTAATGGGCTCATGATGCTTGGATGATGGATTATATAGCTTGGCTGAGTGCATTTTGGTTCGATGATTCCTTCAATAAGTTTATCAAATAGCTGCTTCTCATTCATATTTTCTTGATATTTATTTGGGAATGCCTCATAAAGAAGACCTTCAAGCTTAAGTCTCAGATCTGGGTCTTCAAGATCAATTTTCTCGTTACAATAATTCTCTATTTCTTCGAGAACATCATATCTTTGGAATGGCTTTGAGAAATCAATTTCGATAAGCTGGGGATCCTTTTGTTTTTCCTTCTTACTAGTATTTTTCTGAATGGTTATTTTGGATGTATCAAATATATCAGTTACAATATAGTTCAGCATTTCCTCAGTCAGCTCCATCATTGTTTCATAATCTGCATAAGCTTGGTAAAATTCACAAGTTGTGAACTCTGGATTATGAGTGGTATCGATTCCTTCATTTCTAAATACTTTTCCTATCTCATAAACTTTCTCAAAGCCTCCTATTATGAGTTGCTTGAGGTACAGCTCAGGAGCGATCCTCAGCTCAAGGTCGGCTTCTATAATAAGATTAGTGACATCAGAGGTATCTCTTACTCAATTCATTAGCTCTTGTTTTAAATGGTCTGGCAAGAGCCCCACTAGCTTGGCTGTTCAGCAGAGGAGTTTCTACTTCCAGATATCCTTTTGACTCTAGAAAATGTCTCATTGATTTGATAATTTTTGCTCTCCCCAGAAACAATTCATGAACTTTAGGGTTACAAATTGAGTCTAAATATCTTTTCTGAAATCTTAGTTCAGCATCCTTAAGAGTTTGAGTATGAGTATAGTTCATCATTGGCATATTATGATGACATTTAGATAAAAGAGCACAGTTGGTAGCGATTAAAGAGAGCTCCCCAGCTCTGGTTCTGCCTGGATTTCCTTGTAGAGAAATAATATCTCCTCTATCAAGATCTTTTCCGAGGATTCCTTCTGATACTCTCTTGTCAATTTTGGCTTGGACCTTTGTACCGTTGCTTGAGAGATCGAGGAAGTGAATATTTTTGTTCGCTAATAAAATAGAGTCTATAAAATACCTTTTCTAATTCCTATGATTCTTCCAGCTAGACTGACATTGTCGGAAATCTCCTCGCTAGAGGAGATTTCTGAATATTTTTGCTTAAATTCTTGAATGTTTGAATCAAGTCTAGTCATTTATTCATTATCTTACTTGAGAGACCTCTGGATAGGAAGAGGAGTATTTTTTGTTCAGAAACTAGCTCTAGTCAGTAGCCTTAAATTCATTTATAACTTATTATAAACCGTGAATAATTTTGGGGTTTTGGGGTTTTGGGGTTTTGGGGTTTTGGGG